CAGGCTTGCCTCTGCAGGACTGACGCAGGGATGTTGTTCTTAGTGTCTGTCATTGAGTTGTTTCCGACCCATAGTGACCCGTGCGCATCAGAATGGAGCACTGTCCACTCCCGGGCCGTCCTTACCACTGTTCCTATGAGCTCGTTGTTGCAACCACGGTGTCGATCTCTCTCCTTGACAGCCTTCCTCTTTTTCACTGTCTTTCCACTTTACTGAGCATGAGGTCCTCCAGGGACTGTTCTCTCCTGACAATATGTCCAAAGAATGTCACAAGCAGGCTTGTCAGGAACTGTGCAGCAGGAATAGGTTGTACCAAACCCACACCAAACTCACTGCTATCGGCTCAATGCCAACTCACAGTGAGTCTAGAGGGCAGGGTAGAACGGCCCCTGGGGTTTTCCAAGACTAACTGTTTACAGGAGTAGAAAATCCCATCTTCCTCCCACGGGGCAGTGGTGGTCTCAGATTGCTGACCTTGCAGTTAGCAGCCCAGTACATTATCACTACACCCCCAGGGCTCCTAGGCTGTACCAGGGGACCTGAAAGTCAAGAGCACAGGATGTTCCCAGGAGGGCTGGGTCGGGTCTGGGCTTCATTCCCCAAACAGGGGCTCATAGACACGGTTCAGATTCACAAGCAAGCAGGCCTCCCTTGAGGCTGAATGGGTAGGAACTCTTGCAGTGTTCATTGGCCTCACTAATAGGCAGGCTTTGTGTACAGTGGTCGAGGGGAACTGCCGTCCACCAGCAGATTAGCAATGGAGAAAAAGGAACAGCAGGTTCTCCCCAAAGTTCCCAAGAGGCCAAGTCCTGCCACCGTGGCAGGCTTCTGTGAGCAGCCTGCACATTTGCCTCTGTTGGAGCATGCTATCATGGGTGTTCAAAAAGCGGATTCTTTTTTCTGGAGGAAAGATTTAATGATTTACAAGCAGCTTCATTAGTCCCTCGGATGGAGGCAGGGGGTTAGAGAAGCGGCAGAATAAAAGGCTTCTTTCCGAATTGCTTCGTTGGCATTCTCCACGGCAATTAAATGCCTCGCATAGAGGCTGGGTTGGCTTTCCTTGTCTAATGAGAGGTGCGGGCTGAGGAGGTGGCTTATTTCAGAGCAGACAGGACTGTTGGAGGATTCAGGAGGAAATGACTGTGAACTTGTCAGCCCTGTGAGTTGCTGCAGGAGTGGGTACTTCCCAGAGCCAGGAAGCTGAGCCATCCATCTCAGGTCTGCTGGCCCCCTCTGGTGTTCACTCAGCAGCAGTCACAAGTCCCTGGAAAAGCGTGGTTCTTTAATGACAGATTTACTCCTTCTTTTCTTTTTTAAGTCAACTTGAAGCAGTGGATTTAGGTTAACAACAATCCATGTGCCACGCAGTTCAACTAAATTCTTAAGTTACGAGGAGTTCTGAAGACAGATCATTCATCTTCTTTTATATTAGTGGTCTTCAGGGTTTTGAAAAGTATAGTCACCACTGTCAAGCCAATCCCAACTCACGGCAGCTCCTGAACGTCAGAGCTGATCTGTACACTATTGGATTTACAATGGCTGACTTTTCAGAAAGAAATCACCAAGCCTTTCTGCTGAGTTATCTCTGGGTCAACTTGAATCTCCAGCTTGTTTCTGTTAACAGCTGAGCATGTTGATTGTTTGCTCCACCCAGAGACATTGAGGGTAACATAATGTATTTATCCAGTCATTTAAAAAAACTATATTGGATATTAAGTTCTGAGCACTTGGTTTGTTGAAAGTCATAGTTTACAGTGAGAGCTTTGGCTCCATTTTCAGTCTTGACATAATTCTCCATCTATTTGAGTTCTTCCTGACCATTAAATGGCAATATAAAAAGGTTATGACTCCCAGGGTTAGGCAAAGACTGGGAAATCTCACCTTTTGGGGACCTGCCCGAGCATGCCCCGAGTGAAAATTGGGGTACTAGACTGTGTGGTCTGAGAGTCCCAGCACCAACCCTGTACTCTTCAGTCGTGTCTAGGCCCATCATGACCCCTTGCCTGCTTCCATAGTCCCGTCTGTGATAAGGAATTCCTGCGATGAGGAATTGATCTGCCACCAATCAAGAGTTTGTGATGAGTTCATTCTATAATTAGCCACACACCCATGAATCCTTTGGTCCTCAGGATGACCTCTTGTTGATGCCTATAATGGTGATTGGTCCTTGTCTTTGTCTTGGTCCTGCTTAAGACTTAATAAAGGAGTCTAAATATATTTAAATCGGGGGTATGTTGTTTTTTTTTACCTCCCAGAAAAAAACTAAAAGAAGAAGAAATGGGGGTTAGATGTAAGCTAGAACTCATGGGAAGTGGGGTATTCGATATGGTGACCTGTGAGGGCAATTGTAAAGATTTGAATTAAGAGGTTTTCTCTTTCGATACCACCCTGCCTGACAAGAGGTGGGGGCTAGCCTAGTGCTGTCCAAATACACATTCACAGTTTTTGTGATATATGCATAAGACCTATACAACTGCTTACTCATGGTTTTCTTTAAGTGGATTCATTTCTTCCAACTTTACACTCATCCTAAGCACCGACACTGAGACTGGGCAAGGGAGGGAAGGTGGAGATTTGGACAGCTTGTGCTAAGCTCATGACATCATGGGACTACATTTCCCAGAACCCCTTGCTACCCAGATGGAAATTTCCAAGGATTTCCACCTATGGGAACCTTTCAGAACGTTTGATGTGCATAAAGGGAGCAAGAAATACTTAGGCCAGTTGTGTTGGCTGGTAAGGTTTTCATCCTCCTGGGAGTTTTTAAGCAAAATTCTCTTGAGATGCTTCTGTCTTTCCAAAGTAAATCTTTCTCTTGGTAAAACAAGAACCTAATTCCAGTAACAATACAGTATCGGCAAAATCCTGAGTCCATGTGCTGGGGATAGCGCTTGCATATGCTTTCAAACACAAACCACCTTCACGCACGTGCACCCTGAAGTCACCGGGAGCCCCAGGGTGGGTTCGTTTGGGGAAATGCCGTGCTAGGTGCATGTGAACGTCCTTTGGTTTCCTCTTGTGGTTACATGATAACGTCATTATGAGTCACTTTGACCCCCAGCTATGATTTATAAAGGGGAGGAAAATACTGTTTCAATCAGAACGGAACAGATCCATACGGTCCAGTAAGAAAGCCAGCGGCGCCTGCGCACTTGCTCACGTTGCTCACGTTCCTCCGGTCCTGAGCCCCGCAGAGCCGTTTCCGGGTGGCATGGTGATTGGCCCAGATGGCCTCGCACCTGGGTTGACTGCGGAGTCACTGGCTCATCCTTGGCTGGGTGGAAAGCCATTGTTTGATGGTCTCCGAAGTCGGTTTTATTTCCTGATTAATTCATTTGGATCAGAGCCCGGAGGCTGGCTTTTATTGCCTTTGGTCCCACCCGTGGTTGTCAGCAATTTTTAAACCAGTAAGACCCACGGTCTCTTGAGTTCCCCGTTTCCACGTTATCATAAGAGAATGCGCCTTTATCATCTGTGTGTTCTTCACCGACAGTGCAGGTGGGCAGACTACGGCTACTCTCCACGTAGACTCCCAGCATTCCAGGGGCGTGGTTCACGTGGAGCTACCACACCTTTTCATACCAAGAGTACAAGTTTCCTTCCATGTTGTCGCTGTGGATCACAAACCCAGACTGAGTCCTTTGGACTGTGAATTTTAATGCATACTCTGCAAGGGCAGTCTCCGGGCCGCCCCGGCTCAGGGGTTTACTCAGGAAATATTTATGTACAACCCTATGCTGACCACCATGCTAGACCCTGCGTGTAGCTTAGTCACATGTACCAAAGTGCCCGTTGTCCCCGAATGTGAGAACTGTCCCATCAAACACAAAGGCCCCGTGAGGGCAGCCTGACCGCTACCCTGGCTTAAGGTGCTGCGCTTGCTTTCCCTCTCCATCGTTTCGTTCAGCAGGCAGCCTAGCCCAGAGCTTCTGAGCCCGCCCTTCTTAGCCTCTGCCTGCCGATCTTTTCTAACACAGCGGGCAGAGCTGGTAGGACAGGCCTAGCAGAGGTTCTTGGAAGCATCTTGCAGCCCTGCGTTGGCCAGGGACCGTGCGGTGTAGAGCGGTCCCACCCTGAAGGTGCCACCTGTGCCCCGGCGCCAAAGTCGGGCTTGCCAGACTTTACTGCGCAAAACCCTGGGAGGTGTCTTCACAATCGCCTGCAGAGGGCTGGACTTGTGCCCTGACTTCAGTTTGCAGGCAAGGGTAAGAGCCTTGTGCGCCCCCAGTGGTGAGGTCATCTACTGCCCCCTTCCCCCAAATAAAGCTAAGTGCAAGCAGTGAACACACTGGGCTGCTGACCAAACCCTGGGGCGGGGTTCTACCCAGAGGCCCCTCGGAAGAAAGGCCAGGCGATCTACTTCCCAAAAGGCAGCTGTTGAAAACTCCCTGGAGCCCAGCTGGACTCTCTTATACAGGGGCTCACCTTGAGTCAGCGGGGTTTGACGGCCACGTTTATTTCTTAGCGCTTGGAGAAATGAGAAGACATCGGAATCTTGCGGCCCCAAATACATTTCCCTAGTGCCAACCTTGGACAAGTGACTGGGTTTTTGTGGGGGTTTTTTCGGTCACCCCGTTACATTTTCTTCGGGAATGTCGGACCTGTTTTGAATGTGTCTGGTATACAAATGATGACTGGTGGGACCAGATGGGCATGAGCTGGTTTGGGGGTCGGTGAGGCTGAGCAGTGGGAAGAGTAGGCTGTTTCCTTCCCCTTGGTTTCCCCATCATTCCGAACATACATTGGACTTTGTCCTGAGCGGAAAATGAAGAGAAAGCCATTTGGTCACAGGTGTGGCTCACTGGCCCAGAGAGAAGCGTCTTACCTGGGGGGTGCTTTAGGGAGTGACGGTGTTGGGTGCCTTTCTCCTCATCTCCACACCCCACACCGAAAGGGGCCACTGTGCCACCAGGGGAAGGTTTGGGACGATTAAGCCCCCAGCGGCCACTTGAACTGCTCTCTGATCTCTGCCTCTCTGCACTGCCTTCCTGCTTAGCAAGAACGACGCCCAGGGAGGAGCGCCTGCAGAACCCTGTCGGCATGAACCGCTGCAGTGTGGACCCCAATGCCGCCGCCGCCGCCTTTAACCACAGGGGCTCCTGGCAGCCCCCCTCTTCCTCGATGTCCTTCAAGAGACAGAACTCTGGAGAGAGCCGCATGAGGGGAGGCCCCGCCACCACCTGCAGTGGTGTCTGCACAAGCCTCCTGACCGCTGCAGGCCCCTCGGCGTCGGGGCTGAGGCCCCCAGCGTCCAGCCCCAAGAGAGACGGGGCGGCTCTGGAAGGAAGCAGATGTGGTACTGTAACGCATGAGTTGGCTTCCTGTGCCTGGGCCCTGGGCCCTGCTCACGGCGGGTGGAGACTGAACGCGCGCGCGGGGTGGAGGTGGGGGTGGGTGGGGAGGGGAGGCTCCCACGGGCTCCTTCACGGGGCTTTGTTGTTGTCCAAGGCTCTCACCTTCAGCCTCTGAGCCGTAAACATAATGGAGTAGTGCACTAGGCTTAGGCTGTAGGAATCCATGGATCCCAATGGACATTGGCTCAAATACCACGGAAGTGTGCGTTGGGGTTTAAGGATTGAAGGTGGGTGTCTCTCCTTGGTGGGGGCATCTCTGTGGAGGGAGCCCTGTTCCTTGCATTGTGTTGCCCCGCCCCTCCCCTGGCCCCAAGCCCTGTGCCTGCGGTGGGCATAAAGGGAAGGAGTGCCGTGTAGGAGGTGCGCCCACCACCCCTGCTCAAGGTTGGTTGGCAAGGGCTGCTCATTTTCTTGTACTTGACTGCAAGGGAGGCGGGGAAGTGTCTGGATTGGGGTAAGGAGTTTTCTCTTGCATAGTAGATGCCATACGCAGGATCCACATGCGTGGCTGCTGCTGCTAGGTGCAGTTGAATCGCTTCTGACTCAAAGCGACCGGATGTACAACAGGATGAAGCATTGTCCTGTCTTTTGGGGACCCTGTGTACAACAGAATGAAACACTGCCTGCTCCTACCTAAAACCAACCAACAAAACAACAATACATCACTGCTATTGAGTCAATGCTGACACATAGCAACCCTACAGGACAGGGAGAACTGCCCAGGTAACTGTTTACGGGAGCCGAATGCCCCTGCCATTCTCAGAGCGTTCGGGGGTTCAAACTGCTGACTTTGCAGATCGCAGCCCAACGTGTAACCACCAGACCCCCAGGGACCTTTACACTCCCTCCAGCATCCTGCAAATCCACCCACATCATGAAGTGTGTCCCAGTTTCATCATTGCCCCTTCAGGCTGCAGATTTTTATGGAAGCAAGCTGCCACGTCTATCCCCCACGGGGTAGCTGGTGGGTTCCAGCCACCCTTGCACTTGGCATCTGAGCGCTGTCACCACTGTGCCACCAAGAGAGCCATGTACGATCCAAGTTAAGCAAAATGCACGCCACACCCGCCAGCCCTCCCCCCTAAAGAAAGCCTGTTGGAATGCAATGTACAAAAGTGCTGTCACTACAGAGATCGTTTGGAGTGCGTTCAGATTTATGGTTTTTAAAAATCCGTGTTAAGCTTCAGTCTGTCAGCATAGTGGATGATGGTACGGGTTGTGGAGCCAGACTGCCTGGGCTGGAATCCCAGATCTCCCACTTCCTGGCTGTGTGATCTTTGGGAAGTCTTCACTTCTTCGTGCCTCAGTTTCTTCACCTGCAAGAGCGGAAAAATTTCAAAAGTTCTAGCATCTGCGGCACAGGATTGTTGGAAGGACTAACTGAGGGAATGCACACGTATAATTGGTTCTCATGAGTCACAGTCATGTCCTCTTAGCTATGTGTGAACACTTTAGTAGCCAATGTAGAATCAGCCTGATGCAACCTCAGCGGGAACATGCCCGTCAGGTGACTCGAATAGTTCATCCTCTGCACGTGAGCCTTTCCGAGCACAACTGCCAAAAGTGCCTGCGTATTTTTAGTGAGTGGGCAGGCTGGCAAATAACCTGGGAACAATGCAGATGGACTGGATTTGGCACAAGGCCCATTACATAGAAAGAGCTAAAGAAATGTTCCACACAAATAGTTGGAGTGGTCTCAGGCCACTTGAACACAGTCCCCAACAGATCACAGCCCACCATCTCTGCATCTGAAGAAAAGAGACCCCAGACCAAGGAGTCAGGGAGTCTCCAACTTACTCCACTGTAGCATCTCAGCTAGCTGGCTGTATCATCCTTGACAAGCCATGTTTCTGCTCAGAGTTCAGTGTCCCGCACCAGTGGCCCCAACAAGCTGCACAAAGGAGCTGCTTTAGGATCCGTGAAGCTCCATACATTCCTCACATCCCTCTAGATGATCCTTGCCCTATGTATTCTCACCTGGCTTGAGAGGAAGGATACTCTGAGGGGCAGGCCACAGATTCCCCTGGCCATGGCAGCTCTTGCCTAAATGCAGAGGTGCCCACAGACCACTTCTAAAAACCGTCATGCAGACATTGTCATGTCTACGCAGAAGATTTGGATGGGCAAAGGCCCATTTTTTAAAAGGGAGTAAGATTATTCCATCTGATCTCTAAGAGAAGGCCTGGTCCAAGCCAGCATCTTTGAGCAATTGAGGATCAGTAGTTACCTTACAGGTTTATCCTTAGAGTTAGCGTAACATCTGACGTGCAGTGGGTATTTAATAAACATTCATGTGCCGAGTGCCTTCGTGTGGCCACCTGATTGTCACAACCCTCATCCTGGTGCCTTACCACTCAAGCTGCTTTCTAATGTCTCTTTCATCCAACCCCTTCTACTCAACCCAATTTTCATCTACCTGGACAGCAATCTGATTGAAATTGGCTCATGTTCCTGAGACTGTGGCTTCCTGGGGTGATTCAGACAGCTAAGCACTGAAAGTTAGAGGTGTGTGCCCACCTGGAGAGACAAGCCTGGTGACCCAGTGTGGCCTTGAAAACCCTGTGGCAGCAGTTCAACCCCCCCATGCATGGGGTCACCATGAGTCAGCATTGGCTTTACAGCAAATAATCACACCACCCTGAGAATATTGCCACTTTGCAGAAAGGAGTTATTTATCCCCTCATTCAAGATCACCTGCCGTTGAGTTGGCCCATGGCTCATGGTGGCCGCATGTATCTTGAGGCCTTATAATTCATAGGTTTCATTGACTGATGATGTTTGGAGGGGTCACCAGGCCTTTCTTCCTGGCTACCTTCATTGGGATGCTCTGTAGAAGCCTGCTCAGCATCACAGCAATTCATAGGCCTCAACTGACGGCTGTGCATGACGTGCCTTGGCTGGGAATTTAACCAAAGTCACCCCCATGGGAGGCCAGGATTCTACCACTGAGCCCCGTGGTCCCCCAGATCATCCAGGTGATGAAAAGTTCAGACTGCATCTGAAGCCCATGCCACAATGTAAGTGGCACGAGGCAATGTTTGGCTGCAGAGCGTATCTGTCACTTGCTCAAGAATGGCCTGCTCCATCTCTGTCCCTCTGGAGATCCTGGGTTAGTGGAACCCAGACCCTTCAAAGGGTCTCAAAGGAGCCTCTGGTTCCCCTCCCCACAGTGCCTCAGGGTCCCCTTCCATCTGAGCGCTGAGATGTGCTCCCTTTCCAGCTGCGCTTCATTTCCATCTCCTCCAGCCTTGGTTCTCCTGGAATGACTCCGTGGCTATCGGGGTAGGTCCAGTCTTGAGCGCAGAACCCAGCTCTGAAACAGCCCCTCGGTCCAGCTTGTCCCGGGAGAGCCTCCTGAGCTCCCAGTTTCTGCCTTTCGGGGTCTTGGATGAGGCCAGAGATATGGAGGTCCCCAAGGTCTGCCGCCTTCCTCTCAAGCACCTCCTGGAAACTAGTTGTCTCCTTATATAATTTAGGAATATTGGAGACTCCTGCCTAATACTCTGAAAATCAGATTTGCTTCTCATTGGCAGAATTATGGAGCTGTGAGGTCTTTCAACGCACAATGCCGCTCTGCCTTCTGGGACCGCAGGGTGGGGCAGTGGGAGATCTTCGTTGAGTCTTGTGAAACTGATGAAGAAAAACGCCATTATTCGTCCTCTGTACGTCCGTTAACCCCAAAGAGCTCTTTTAACCAGGGCTCTGGATGGAACCTTAGCTACCCGTCAGCCACATTCTCAGCAGAGAGGGCAATGCAGCCATAGCCTGAAGAGGGCGCCACTTCTGCTTACATCTGATTGGCTAGAGCTTAGTCACGTGGCCCCGAGCTGCAAGGAGCGCTGGGAAATGCGGCTTGAATTCGGAGCAAAGAGACCCGCGGGGAGTCTGGAGGGAGACGCTGTGACAAAAGAAAGGAGAACCAGGTGGAACCACAGGGTTAAGCTCAAACCCACGGCCGCTCAGGAGGAGGAAGCTGAGGCTGAGTGCTCCTGTAATGACGTGTGGTCTCGGAGGCATCGGGACGCTCGGGCTCTGGCCCTGGGCGTGGTTTGGCTTCTTACCCAAGGCCGGAGGCCTGGTGGCGCCGTGGTTCAGCGCTCCGAGGGAGGGAAAAGGTTGGCAGCTGGCACTCTCCGGCTGCTCTGGAGGCGGAAGACCTGGCGCTCTGCTTCTTTAAAGATGACAGCCAAGCAACATGCAGACGAGTGGGCTTCATACATTCCAAGGATGGATTGTTACAAGATTTGTAAAAGCCCCCCAATAAAGTGATGAATAGTAATTTTTTAAAAAGTTTACAGCCAAGAACGCAGCCCAAGGGTTGGAGGTTACCGTGCCCCATGGGCCACGGAGAGTTGGGACGGCCTTCCCGGCACATTAAAAAAGCTGTGGAATAAAGACCTGGGTGCACTAGGGCAGGCTCAGCCACACCTCCCTTTCAGAAACAGTTCCTCGGCTCTCCCCCGCCGGCGTTTTAAACTCCGTACCTCCATCCTGACCCCTAACAGAGACCAGACTGTCAGCTTCCTAAGGCCTCTTGTTCATATTTGAGCCCCCACACCCTTTGGGCTGGGGCTTTCCCCTATGGTGCTAATCGAAAGGTTTTAAAAACCACACAAGCCAGATAGCCACCCAAACCGCTCAGCTTTCCCTCTCAGGTGAACATTTTCCTGACACTCTGGTGGGGGTGTGTTCACAGGGACAGGATTCCCTGGTTTTCGCCGCTCTTCAGAAATATAACAGCTCTTCCCTCTCAGCCCAGCATAATCAACATGATGTTTCGGATGACTACAGTTTCCTGACCTCTGCCTTTAACAGGAGAGGCTCCAGACTTCCCAACGGCAATTAGGTGCAAACAGTTAGGATTAGGATTCAGAA